GGTTTGACACCCCAAACCAAGCAATGTAATGCATGTAATCAAACATGGCTCAAGTGTAACAAAAGACTAAGTTACAAAACATGCCAAATGCAATGTAAGCTACTATGCAAGTGGTGCAATATGCCAAGCATGCAATGCTACAATACAACCTAGTTAGGCAACTAGGAAAGTGGTAAACATGAAACAATGCATTGACTACAAGGATGCAACAAACCTGCAATGTAATGAGTATACTACAAGATACAAATGCACGGACTTACACTAGGATGGAGGAACCTCAGCCACCTCCCCAAAATAGTGGCCAAAGTGCACTAAAATGATGATGCCAATCATGCAAAAAGAAGCATGCAAAGTAATGAGCCTAAGACTAAGGCACTGAAAAAGGGCAAAAGCCTCCTTGAAGGGCACTTCAACAGATGACAAACATGATTTAGACTTCAAATATTATTATTATTATTATTATTATTATTATTATTATATTTATTTATTTTTTTGACTAATTTAACTAAAACATTAACCCAACCTAATTGTTAGACGGCACCATATTCTAGGTCCATACAAATAAGAAATTAACATGGATTTTCAATAATATACCATGATTATATTGCCACAAATTTTCATTAATCATAACCCTTTTGTCTTGTTTTTGAACTATTCATGATTGACATGAACCTAAAGCAAAATGAAAAGCACCAAAATTACTTGTTACAAACACTTTCTATTTTGACCACATTTAAACACATTAGCCATCATTGTATGATCTTGCTTTTACAAAGCGCTTTCCCTTTTTGTGGATACAGTAACCAAACATGTCTTATATGGGTTATCCATTAGTGCAGAAATTGGTGTATTTGTCCGTTTGGTATAGGAAAAGTATAACCCACAATTTTAAAAGCAACTTTTTCTTCTCTTATTTATTTATTTTTATAAGATGATGATTAATATATTAATAGTTAAAGCCTATTTTAAAAGTGAATTAAAAGTCATTTTTTAACTTTTAATTTATTTTTTTCTTTCACAAAAAAATTAAAAAAAGTTAAAAAATAACTTTTAATGATCTTTTCAAAACACCTCTAAATTAAAACGTAAATCAACGCTTCTCTATAAATTCAAATTTGAAACATCATTCACCTTAGCATCTAAGTATCCTTCTCGATGACCATTTAGACAATTGACAGGATCGATTAAAACAACTTTATTCATGCATATTAGGTTTCACAATTATTTTTTTAACACCTTTTTTTGTTAATTTGTTATCAATTTTTTTTATTTTATTTTTAGTAATAAGAAATTAAATATAATTTTAAACTATTTACTTTTAAGTTCTACTAAAATAAATAGACCTGAAATGTAAACATTTAAAAAAATAAAAATAAAAAGTCAAATAAAGATTAAAAAAATTAAAAAATTTAATTTGTACTTTTTAAATTCGTCTAAACTGGTTGGAGGTATTAAAATATAAACATTTAACACAATTTTTTTTAAAAAAATTTATTAAAGAGAAAACAGTTTAGACAAAAATATGACTTTTGAGCTATTGCTAAATAGATAGAGGGAAAATGCATATTTTAATGTGAAAAGAATATAGATTGTGTTTTTTGGGATGCCATCGCGCAAAAATAAAGACATATTATACTTTCTTTAGCAGTGGTACTATACGTATCAATTAGTTTATTAATATATGCTATGACATTGACACTTTAATATTATGACTTCACCTATTATATAAATTATTAAAATTTAAAACTTTTAAAATTATGCTACATCATCCGTTAATATGCTAATTAATATATCAATTAATGCATATAGTAGGGGTGGTCACGGATTGAATTTGTGCGGTTTGTGATTCTGTTTTGATCCGTCGGTATCTATACGGTTTGGAAAAAAGTCAACCCGCAACCACTCGCAGTGCGGATTGCAGTTTGTGCGGATAGGGTTCGCGGATGTGCAGGCGGTTTACGGTTTGGACTTTTTTCTTTAACAGTCTATGAAGAATAGATTCAATTAATCAAACAATGTTCTGTAATAGATTCAATTTCAATTAACAGATTCAATTTCAATTAATCTAACAATCTAACAGATTCAATTTCAGATTAAATTAAAATTCAATAACAGATTCAATTAATCAAACAATGTTCTATACAAGTCTATGAAGAACAACAACAAATTCAATTAAACAGAATCTAAACAGATTCTATCAAAAATTCAATAACAGATTCAATTAATCAAACAAGGATTAATATCATCATCAAACACAGATACCAATAACAGATTCAATTAATACACAAATATCAACAACAGATTCAAAGATGAACATCTATCATCATCAAACACTGCCTACTGTTGCCTAAAAGACAACAGTAGATCTTGTGAAGGTACATCTTGCGGGGAGAGAAACAGAGACAGAGAGACGCTTAGTTGAGAGTTGCCGAGGAGAAAGAGTCGATCTTGCGAAAGTCGATCGAGGGGAGAGAGAAGAGAGAATGAGAGAAGATCTTGTGAAGATAGATCTTGTGAAGGTGGATTAGTTGATCCCTGGATCAGGATCTTGCAATGGTGGATCGGTCGATCAGTGAGAGTTGCTGGAGAGATAGAGTGAAGATCGAACAGTGAGTGAGAGAATAATTGTTATATTCTAAACTGTAACCCCTCCCCCCCGGCGCAAGATGATAGGTGCGAGTCAAACCCGCAACTCGCCCCACTACCCGAATAATTGTTATATTCCAAACTGCACCTGACCCTATTATGTTTGTGAAACTGCCCACATGTGTGTGGGTCGATTCGGGTGAGGCGGTTTGTATGGGTCGGATAACCATTGTATAGGAAATATTCAACAATCACAGAAAGAAGAATACTTGAAGAAATAATGAAAAATTATATTTGAAAACTTCTTTGAGAACCATACAATTTTTCAAGCCATTGCATAAAAGAAAACCCTATTTACTTAGCTAGGGTTTCATCAAAACCCTAGAAATAGGAGCTTAGCTAGTCATGGAGGAGTGGGAAGAAGTAGAAGAAGAAGAAGAAGAAGCCTTCATGAAAATTGCCTTTGAAGCTTGAGAAATCTCTTTCCAAACCGTAGCCCCTTCTTTTCTCTAAAATATTTTCGAACCCTAATTACAGCCTCTTTTCTTCTTTTTATTCCCAGCAGAATAGGCTTGAATTTCGCATACGCAACCTTAGGTGGGTCGCTCGAGCGCCCCTAATTTCCGCTCGTGTGGTGGTGGGCCCCACATGTACTAGAGCCTGGCCGCACATGCGGTGAGTTGGCAGGCCGGGAATTTTCACTACTCACACAGAGAATCTACTTTTGCGCCATTTTTTGCTTGAATTTGCTTGTTGCCTGCCAAATCTGTATAAGTGCACAAAACACATCATCTTCACCAAATAAACAAAATTCAAAGACTATATAAATGTATCTTAAGCAGCCTCAATGTGGTACATTTTGGCCTACATCAGTGCGGGTCGAATTTGTGTGGGGTGTAAGTCTAATCTATGTGTGGGGTGCAAGTTGAATGTATGTAGGGTGTAATTCTAGTCTGTATGGGGTATATGTAACAACCCTACTCTGTGATAGACTGTTAATCCTCAATTATAATTGTGATTATGTGCTTGATATGAATTTGAATGCAAATTATGTGATTAGATGTGAATTTGAACTTATATTTGTCTACCGTAGAGAAATCTATTTGCTTTTTTGCTATAATTTGAAATTGAAGACCGTAGAGACTACAGAAACTGAAATTGACTATATTATTGTGATTAGCATGATTTTTAGAGCCTACAGTGAGATTTAATTAAAAATTGATTCGGATCAAAATAATTAGATTAAATTAAGTAAAATAAATGCTATTGATTAAACTTAATCAAGTCTGACTAGTTTAGGCTAATCACCAATATATATATATATATATATATATGTTATGTAGTGCTTAAGCTTATACATTTTGAGCTCTCCTTCAATCTTGGTTGAGATATACACGTTAGAGAGAGAGAGAGAGAGAGAGAGAGAGAGCGAGCTCAACTTGGAGAAATTTCTTGATGATTGAAGAGTTGGGAAGATTAGCTCAAGAACTTGCTAAGATTTAGAAGATTCAAAGGTTTTAAGTAAGTAATTGAACCCTCATTCATAAATTGAACTCATAAGAATATGAATTCAAAGTGAATAAGTAGCTAAGACCATGAATTGAGCTAAGATGATAGAAAACATGATCAAGATGTGCATGCATGTAGGAATTCGCCATAAGTCTTCATATTTGATCATAAAGCATGTTAACCATGTTGAATTAAGGGGTGTTTAATACATGCACGCATGAATTGTTATGTTTTGATGTCCAATCATAAGGCTCAAAGCTTGTGAGTGCATGATATAGAACATGGATTATATACATATATGTATTACGGTTTGAATTTTTGTTGGATCCATGGAATTGTGAGCTATAAGCTGAAATTAACTTCAAATATATGTAGTTGGAAGCGTTCTTAAATACTTGGGTGAGTCAAGCATGAAATTGGACCTTTGGAAATGTGTTTTGAGCTTCAAACACAGTTCTGAAAATTCTAGAATTCAACCTATCAGCTTGAGCGAAGAAAGTGTCGCTTTAGCGTAAAAATCAAGCTCCCAAAAGTTTTATAGAGAATTGCACGGTAGCTCGAGTAGCAAACCTTGCGCTCAAGCAAACCTTGTTTTGCTAGACGCATCGCTTGAGCGGCAGAAATCTCGCTCGAGCATAAAATTCATGCAACCGGAACTTTTACAAGTTTTGTAGACCACTCGAGCGACCAAAGTTGTGCTCGAGTGGAGTGCCCTATTTCAAAAAATTTTGAAAAGATATTTTATGTTCCAATTTATGTTCTCTTTCATTTCTAAGTTTTCTTAGGCACACATTGAGCATTCTAAATGAATTAAAATAAAGGGCACAAAAGAAGCCTAAGTAAATTTAGTAAACTAAAGAACATGTTGAATTATATTATGACCCAATGTGTTATGAATTATGTAGGGTCAAGTGCAAGGACGAATTAAGGTAAACTAAAGAACGGGTTGAATTGTATTATGACCAATGTGTTATGAATTATGTAGGGTCAAGTGCAAGGACGAATTAAGGTAAACTAAAGAACGGGTTGAATTGTATTATGACCAATGTGTTATGAATTATGTAGGGTCAAGTGCAAGGACGAATTAAGGTAAACTAAAGAACGGGTTGAATTGTATTATGACCAATGTGTTATGAATTATGTAGGGTCAAGTGCAAGGACGAATTAAGCACCGGAATACTGTGAGTAACATCTTAGTAAAGATATTTTGTATATGCATTATTTTCTAAATTTTGCCTGTGTGGTAAGTTTCTAAACTTCCGAATTGATACTATAAATGAGTATTCTATCCGCTTGATTGGCAATGAAGTATGTGAAGTGATTGATGTATGAATATGAAATGGGCCCAAGGCCATTAGGTTTATTTGAAGAGGATATAAATTGGGCCTAAGGCCATTTTGTATAACTGTTAGATGGGCTAAAGGCCATTTTGAATAAGGAATTGATTGGACCTAAGGTCATTCTGAATACGAAGGCAAATGTGAACATGATCATGGATCTAAAAGTGCGCACAAATGTGAATATGAATTGATTGGACCCAAGGTCGTTTTGCATACAATGGACCCAAGGTCATTTTGTACATGAATTGGACCCAAGGTTGTTTCTCATATGATGGATTGAAGGTCGTTTTGCCTAAGAATTGGACCCGAGGTCATTTTGCATATAATGGACCAAAGGTCGTTTTTTAAATACAAATTGGACCCGAGGTCGTTTGTATATGGATACGATATAGGATATGTTGGACCTGAGATCGTTTTGCCTTGATATCTATCAACAAATTTAGTTTATGAATTTTGATTAAATGAATCTTATTCATGAACTCCTTTACTTTGATATTATTCACTGGGCGTTGGCTCACTCTTTATTTACACGTATGTAGGTGAGCAGCGGGATGTCTAGCCCCCAGCCCCAGTGAGCTATAAGAAACGGAGTTTTAAAGAGTCAACCAAGGTCGCCTCACGCAAAAGGCCTTACTTTTGTTTTGTTTTTCCTTTTGTTCTTTTGTGGTCATGTGTGACCAAATTTGTGTATAACCTTGGTTTTTGTTAATACTAATTTTTGAATGATCCTGGACTTATATAATACAAACTATGCATATTTGTATAGTGTGAGTTATGACATACATCATAAAATTTTTTGGTTAAGTCATGTCTACACAGTTCATTGGACAATCTTTGCAAGTTCTGCTTCCGCAATTTGGCCTCCCATTATTAAATATGATCTGATTTCTGACTAAGGCCGTAGGTAATCTCATGATTACTGGCCAGTTATGACTCTAATCCATAGAGGTGGATTTAGGTCTTGATAATAACTATAATGAAAACACCACATATACATCCCAAATCAAAGATATAAGGAGTTAAAAGTACCCCTACCTCAAGATTGAAGGCGAATGGTAAATACCCAACTCCAACTTCAAAAGATGAGAAAACAATCAGTAAAACTATAGATCTATACTTGTTCTTCAACCCCCTTTGAAGATCTAAGGTGAATATTGGTAGAAACCAAGAGGAATCAAGTGTTTAGAGGCTAGGGTTTCAGAAATGGGTGAGAGAGAGATAGAAGATATTGAAAAAATAGGAGAAAAGGAGTTTGGATTGACTTCTAAGTGTGATGGACCGAAAATACCTGTAGACAGCCCATTTTTGACCATCCTCAAGACTTGGACGTCATCGTTTGAACACTCGATGATCATCCATGCTCGTATTCGTTTTGAGTTCCCGAAGGTTTCAGCTGCGCGTCTTGCCTTAAGATCTCTCAACTTGTCTATTTTGTGCTTGGTTGTAGACCAAGGATTTGTGGTTTTGCTTCTGAGGAAAGAGGGTGACTTGTTGGCCATCCCTATAACCCATCGGCTAAGGCCTTGTGCCATCGGCCATGTTTTCTTGTTGTCGGCCATAAGTGTTGGCCGATCGACACTCTTTTTGGCCGATCGGCACTCTTTTTGGTCGATCGGCAATACTTTTGGCCGAGACCTTTCCACCTGCTTTTGAAGATATTTTTGTGCCAGCTGTGACAGCTGGTGAGCACAGATTTCATCCTTCATACACGTGTATGGAGGGATTGATTCAAGTCCTTAGCTTGTTCAACAAGCTTAGGAATTGAATTTCTATAAGAAGGGAGACCCCTCTCCCTTTCCGGAGGTTCTGAAAATTTGAGATAGAAGTTATATATCACTCTCTCTATATATTTTCTATATATATATATATATATATATTTACCCTTGTTTGTGCTCAAAAGTGAAATTTCTTCACACTTTTGCACTAAAGCACCTACTATAACACCATACTCTTGTTGCTGAGGTACTTGAGAGTTTTGTTTGAACTCTAAGTTTGGTTTTTAGCTCAGAAAGTTGCTAGAGTTACCTCTTTGAAGTGGTTCTACAAGGGTGAGTCACTAACCTCCTTTTAAGCTTTGTGTTCATTGCTTACTTAGCCTTATTTGCATGCTTATTTTGGCTTAACTCTTAACTGTGAAAAGATTCATTTTCATGTGTTTGAAATGATTATTTAAGGTCTTGTTGGTGTTGGGGGTGACCTACCCCCTTGAGTGCCTTGTTTTTCCTTGTTTTGGGCCACCCCTTTAGGCTTTTGTCTTTGTCTTTGCATGACCTTTCTACCACTGAATTCTAGAGGAATTTCAGTGGTGGAAAGTGTGTTTTGAGGCCTTAAATAGGAGAGGGTCATCCCCTCTCCTTCTGTCATATATGCTTGTATTGATAACTCATAAAAGTAACATGATTGTTAAGCTTGTTTTGGCTCCATCTTAGCATGTATTAGACATTACTTCAGCGTGATATACCTCTGTCTAAGGTTGGTTTGATAGCCTCTTGCATGCACCATGCACTTGTAGTGCAATCCTCTATATTGCCTTAACATGCATCATGCCTTTGAGCATCATTCCAGCATGATTTTGGCTTAACTCCAAGAAGCTTTTAGCCTTGTTTTACCATGCTTAAGCTCTGATTTGTGTTGTTTTGGTCATACATACATTGCTTTGTATAGCCATGGTTCAATCTAGCTCACTAGTTTTGTGTGTTGAGTCCATTAGCATGCATTACTTGGACTATTTTCATGATTTGGCATCATTTGAAATGTGATTTTAGTACATGTAGTGTGATCATACACTTGCATTTGTCACTCTTTCAATGCTTTAAAGAGTTGGTTCTTTATGCCTTAAGAATGAGCCGTTGCGTATGCCATTTTGCCTAAGCTTGTAAGCTGCCATATCAGTGTGTATTTGGTCTCATTTTGCCATGATATAACTCTGATTTTTGTTGTTGAAGTCACCTCATGCTTGGTTTTGATAGGTGTAGTGTAATACTCCTTATTAGCCTTGCGAGTTCATGCCTCATGTCCTTCATGCTAGCATGTTTTAGCCTTGGTTCATGCACGTTTTAGTCTCATTTTGGCATGCTCTAGGACTATTTCAGGTTGCATTGGCCATATGCTTCATGTATTGCATAGCTATAGTGCAAGTGCCTATGCTAATTTCGAGCTTTGAGCCTTCTAGCATGCCATGCTTTTGTCGTTTTAATGATTTGGTATCATTTCATACCAGATTTCAGAGCACTTAGAGTTGTCACACTTCCATGTTTGTCACTCCTTGCTCATGCTTGAGAGTTATTATCTTCATGCCTTGTTTGTGAACCAAAGTGTATGCATGTTTGTATATGCTTTCGTACTTCATTTTCATAGCATTTTGGCCACTGTTTTGGACCCTCTTAGGTCTATCCATATGCGGTTTAAGTCCACTAAGTGTTGCATTACATGGTCCTTGCCATTGCATTGTTGTTTGCATATTGTCACATAACATTATTATTCGCATGTTGTTGCATGTTTATGATGTTTAGCATGTTGTTGCATGCTTGATATATAGCATGTTGTTGCATACTTGTTCCATTGTATTGTTGTTGCATGCTTGTGTTGCATTGCATGGTGCTTGCATGCTCATGTTGCATTACATTGTTTGCGTGCCATTAGCTTTGTTAAGTTGTGCATGCATTGCATTGTGTTTGGTTTGGGTGTTAAGCCAAACACGAGAAACGAGGGACGTTTCATACTGGAAGTGATGAAACGTGCCTCAATTCTCAGTCGCCGACACTCTTGATCAAGCATGATAGAGGTTAAGGCATTCATGTGTTTTTGTGCATTCATTTGGCATTGACTTGTGCAACTCGGCCTCTTTGGCCATCATGCATTGAAATGCGTGATTGATGGCTTGAGAGTCGAGCATTACACTCCTTTGAGCTTCAAACATGATAACGGGTGTAATTACACAACATTTTCTCGCAAATATATTGCCATGCCTCTGTTTGTGCTCTGCTGCAGCAAAAGAAGCAGTTTGCAGGAAGAGATGGCCGATCGGCTATTTGGAGTGCTGATCGGCTAACATTTTTTGGCCGATGGACTCAAAAGTGGTCGATAACCCATTTCCCTTGGCCAATGGCCTCTCAGAGTGTCCATGGGGTGGTTCAGAGGCATCACAGAAGCTGGAATAGTTTTCAGAGGAGCATAAGTGTGCAAACAGAGGCAACATGGGGCATGGCAACGGATTTTCGAGCGAAGCCAATCGAGCATGCATTTGTCCCTCCTCTTGAGCCCGCTTTAACTGTTTTGTAACTTAATTAATTTGCTTAAATTAGTTAAGGTTTTGTAATAATTAATTAGCTTGTTAGTTAATTAATTAGTTGGTTTGTATTATTCATTCGGACCCTCCGTCGAGAGGGCGACTTTTGTAATAAGTGTGCGTACGTGTGTGAATGTCTTCCAACCCCACGTCTTTCTCCCTTTTATTTACTTGCTTTCAATGGTTAGTTTTAGGTCATGTTTTGATTAGCATCCTTATGCTCGCATGTTTGCATTCATTCATTTGTCTTGCATGCACCGGGCTCGGCGCATCATACAAACTGCATTATATTTTAATTCCTACTTGAATACATGATTATCAAGTTGCATTTCATATGCCAATTTAGAATAGCCGAGCCTATTTCTAGTTGCATTTTACATGTGTTGCATTAGCCATCTTAACATAGCTAGGATCATGCATTGATTACTAACTAGCTTTTGTTTTGACTCGGAGTACACTGCAAGTGTTTATGCTTTAGCATCTTGCATGTGTGTAAGTGTTGTTATGATAGCATGCTTGCCATGAAGCTAACTGCTTAAATGATTAACTGCCTGAATGCCTGTGGGTGAAGGTTAGATTACTTGAATTAGAACAATTCATCGAAACGCGAATTTTAAGCCCACTTGAGAGTGGCAAAATTATGTTTTCTAAGCCCACTTGAGGGTGGCAAATCCACGTCTTAGCCTACTTGCGAGTAGCATCTTGAAACCATTTTCAAACAAACATGAGATGTTTTGTTCCAACTTAGGCGATCTAGTCTATACTTGTGTGTTGTGCGCATCACATAGTAAATATAAGCTAATAACCGGAATAAGAACGCATGTGTTTTAAAAAACAAGATATCATGCTAGTAAAGGCCGATCTTTTGATCGGGGGAGCGGGGGTGCTCATTGCATGACCTTACCCTCTCGTACCTAAGTTCTCGAACCGAGGCAACTTTGGTGATGACGGACACGTGGCCTTAGACAACGAGTCAGGGTTTCCTAAATTTTTCCAAAAATAAAACATTTAGGTGGCGACTCTGTATCTGGCAAAGCAGTCCATGTTTGACACTTCTTTATGAAAATCAGTTTTCCAAAACGATTTGCCGGATTTGGACTCTTTGGTGATTTATAAATCTTGTATTTCACTTTGCAAGATTAGATTCAGAACCGTGACATTGAGTCCGAACTGTAGTAGCTAATGAACAAAACGGATTTTGCGCCCATTTCGCGCGCTGAGCTCGGGACATTCTGGCACGTCTACGCCGAGGTACAATCCTAACACGTCACACGCGAGAAGAGGAAAGGTGGTGTGAACACTAGGTGCACCCGATGTTTTTAACCGAGGGTACAATCCTAATGCGTCACACACGAGAGGAGGAAAAGTGGTGTGAACACCTGGCACACCTGATGTTTTTAACCGAGGTACAATCCTAACGCGTCACACGCAAGAGGAGGAAAGGTGGTGTGAACACTGGGCGCACCCGATGTCTTTAACCGAGCAATCCTAACGCGTCACATGCGAAAGGAGGAAAGGTTGCATTGATAAAACCAAAACAGAGAGACGTAAAACCAAAACAATCAAAGCGGTGTAGTAAAGTGGAAGCCAATTTACCCACGTGTTAAAACAATGAACACAGTGCACCGTGTTTCAATGTGGTTGTGAAATGGACGATGATTTTACTGTGGCACGAATGATTTTATTTGGAACTCCTTTGAATGAACCGTACATACAATATTGTTTGGTTACAAAAGAACATAATAACATAATGAACTATGATTCAAACAAAGCAACTCAGAATAGTTTAAACAAATTAAAAGTTTCGAACAAATGAGCGTAAATAAGCAAGCTTAAACAAATTAAACCAAGAATCAAACAAATGCGTTCACTCAATAAAAAAAAAAAATCAATAAAAAATCCTTTCTTTTCTTTTCCACTCTTTTTATATTTTCTTTTCTCTTTTGTTTCTAATTCTCTTTTTTTTTTCTTTTTCATTTTTAATCACACCTTTTAAGTTTTATTAAAGTGTGATTTTTGAGAGTGTGATTAAAAGGGATTATTTTTAATCCCACCTTTTAAGTGTGATTAATAACATTTAGATGTGAAAAAAAAAATATTACACTCACTAGCTTCTCATTTACTCTTGTGGAGATTCAAACCATCAACCCTCTCACACCATAAACCTTATACAACATACTCTTTCCACTACACCTCTATAACACCATATAATTATATATGCAACATATATTATTTATATAGTACATAGACCCGTATTAATATAAAAGTATATATATAAAGATAATTATTTTTTATTGAAACATAATTTATGTAAAAATAAATTATTTACTAGAAAAAAAAAGAGACCACTTTTGGCGACTAAACATAATTTTAGTCGCCAATTCTATACTAATTATTTTTTAGTCTTTTAAAAATTTAATTCTCAGGCTAAAATTACTACTTTTGGCGACTAAACTTCTTTTTAGTCGCCAAAAAGCCTTACTTTTGGCTACTTAACATCTTTTTAGCCTCCCACTGCCTCAGTTTTGGCTACTAAATTTTTTTTAGTCACCAAAAAATCTCACTTTTGGCTACTAAAGTTTTTTTAGTCAGTAAAAGCCTCACTTTTGGCGAGCAAACATCTTTTTAGTCACCCAATACCTCACTTTTGGCTACTAATTTTTTTTTAGTCGCCAAAAAGCCTTACTTTTGGCTACTAAAATTTTTTTAGTCGGTAAAAGCCATATATGGGCAACCAAATAGATTTTTAGTCGCCAAACCTATACTTTTGGCTACTAAATTTTTTTAGTCGCCAAAAATCTTTACTTTTGGCTACTAATGCTTTTTTAGTCGCCAAAACCTATACTTTCAATGACCAAATGTGCTTTTTTAGTCGCCAAAGATGCTTTTTCTTGTAGTGGAGTGTGATTAAATATATATATATATATATATAATTATACTTATTTAAAAAGTGTGATTAAAAAGTAGTAATGTATATATAATCACACTTTAATTAGAAGGCGTGATTAAAAAATATATAAATAATCACACTTTAATTAGAATGTGTGATTAAAAAATATATATATATAATCACACTTATTTAAAAAGTGTGATTAAAAAGTAGTAATGTATATATAATCACACTTTAATTAGAAGGTGTGATTAAAAAATATATAAATAATCACACTTTAATTAGATTGTGTGATTAAAAAATACATATATAGTCACACTTATTTAAAAAGTGTGATTAAAGAGTAGTAGTGTATATATAATCACACTTTAATTAGAATGTGTGATTAAAAAAATATATATATAATCACACTTAATTGAAAAGCAACATAAAAAATGAATATTATCACACTCAATCAAATTAAGTGTGATTAAAATATCAATCTAATTTTTTTTATCACACTTCCAATAATAGTGAGATTTTTTTTTTTTTTTTTGTGAAAGTGTGATCTTTAACTATTTTTGTAAGTGATAAGTTTTGGTGTTCTAGTGGCTTCATATGAGGAGGTTGATATTAACTGGATTGGTTTGGCTTACCAAATGGGAGGTGTTGTTGCGAAAGCTTTGAGGCGTATATTCATGGAGATTTTTGTTAAAAGGAAGGGTCTCAAACTAAACCCTATTTCTGTCATGTACTACGTTAGTCCCTACAGGCATGTATTTGCATCTGCCAAAGTTTAATTGTTATCATTATTTCTTTCACCATTTGATGCTTATATGCAGAACCTTTTTGCCATATACGGAATCATAGTTCTTGTGCAGTGCTCTTTGCTTGTTCATTCTGTGGATTTTTCTAGAGAAGCCAAAGATGGATGCCCAAGGGACATGGAGCTTTCAACCTGTTATCCTAACACTCAACTCTCTTTGTACTTTTGCACTTAATCTATCAGTTTTTCTTATGATCTCGCATACAAGTGCTTTGACAATTCGTGTTGCTGGAGTTGTCAAGGATTGGGTGGTTATCTTACTATCAACCCTTCTGTTTGCTGATACAATGCTGACAATGATAAATCTGTTTGGTTATGGCATCAGTAATTTTTCGAGAACAAGTACTTTTGTTTTGGGTTTCACTATAGTTTATTGTCTCAAAATTTGATATTAGTATTATGATATTTATTTATATATTCAGTATGTCCTTTGTATATTCTCAATGTTGTATTGTTTATATTCTAGTATTATAGATTGTTCACATTGGAAATCAATTCCAAGAAAGTAGAACAAAAAACTGCAGTCTGTCATACTTTAAAAACGACATTGTATAGGTGGTTATCTTTTGTATTATCCATAAAAATTTATTTTTCTTGAGCTTTATAAAAAATTTGTGTTTTCAATGTTATGGAATTCACATTTTCTTGATGTGGATACTGTTGCTTATCTGACAATTGAGATATGCCTTTTTTTTCATATTTCCGCTGGGGCAATGCTTGGCATATTGTGTGTTGCATTTGGTTTTCTCTTTTTCCTGTACTTTTTAATGTATTATTTTTTTTCCATTCTCTGATAAAAAATAGTATTGTTTATTTCATCTTCATTTCAGATAGTGACCGTGCTTAGGATCTGGATGAGAACCTTGTTGATCACTTAGAAAAGAAATTTCAATTTTAATGTACTGCAATAATGTTTCCGCTGTCTTTAATACTATTTGTGCAAGACAAAAAAGATATGTGATTTAATTTTGTTTTTGATTAGACATGTGATTTCATGAAATAGAGATTACCTATCTAGGAAGCATGGACATGCCTCCTAGGTCGGCATGTCTATGTCTGGCATGTGTCCAATTATGCCCTTTTTTTATTTTTATTTTTTAAAAAGCAGACATGCTAGCATGTGTCAAGCACATCTGACGCCTTGGTTCAAGTTTGGGAAAAAATAGAGTAAAATGAAAAGAAGTTTTTTATACCAACTAATTACTCCTTCAAGCTTTTTAATTTTTCAAACCAAAAAGACTAATAATTTCCAATTTGTTTGTGAATCCTTCTGCCTTCTTAAAATAGACTTTAGGGTGTTCTCTGTTATATTTTCAATTTTTTTGTCTCCATTTTTTGAAAATTGTAATTTTAGTATGTTCGTATTATGTTGCATTTGCATCTTGTTTTTACATCTGTGTTTCTTAGATACCTATTGACCTAGCAAAGAAATATGGTTTTTTATGTAGCCATTGTAGGTGTAGCTGCATATAACAACCACAAGTTGAAAAAGGAGGCTTCTCAAGGCTCCTCTGATGAGTCTCAACATGCTGAATCTACGCCATTAACTTCATCCTCAACTATTGAAAGTAGATAAATAGAGAGCGGTCTCACAGTTTAGTCTGAGGTATGCAACTTTAATTGTGCAATTTGACTCTTCCCTCAAAGTCTAAGGAGTTTGAAGTAAGATTTGTGGCACACATTGTTTGACCCTGAGAAGCCATTGGGTATGCACAATTTCGATTTGATAAGGCTCATTTTGTCAATGGGAATTTGTTGACAATGGGATTTATTTAGGATGAGGTAGCTATTTCAGACATGGAAATTAATCCCACAACTTTGTTGGTAATGACCTGTTGCAAGGATTTTCATGTTCAATGGCGATGACAAGTAGAAGTTAGTGACTTCAACTGAACCCCTAGAACTTTGAAGATCAATATTAAATTTGTAATATTTTAACAGTTTCAATGGAGTGATATATCTAAGTGAACCCCCTATTTTTTTTCCCTGAAGCCCCTTCTCTCTGTGTTGAAACTTTGGATTTGATGACTACAAAGTGCCATCCTTTATGTGTTCTGTTTTTTTATTTTTTTTCCAATAATTCTAAAATATTGTGTTTTTTTTAATTATATTTTGTATTTTATTTTAATGTTGGAACTAGAATCTATTACAATTAGTTTCAATCACAACGGTTGAATTTAGTTCCAAGTTATCACTTGTGAGCTTAATATTATAATGTTTTATTAGATTTACTAAAATGAGATGGAATAGAATAAAATGATTTTTATGGAAGAGTTGGCAGCGATGTATTGATTATCCTTTTAGGTTGACAATTAATATAGAAAGTTTTGCTTTCAATAAATTAAAGACAATCTATTCCAATCCACTTACTGTTTTTCACTAACCTACCAATGGCCTAGGTTTCCTGGGTTGGGTTACAAGTTTTTGCTTAGGTGCTATCATCCATGCTACGCAATTGCCTCTCAATAAGCAGACTATAAGATGAGCTGAGCTGCTTTGAGAAGCTCTAGCTTCAATTTGTTTAGAGCTTTGCCAAACTTGTATTATGTCAAATACCTGAACCTCAAGCCTAGACTCCAAGCTTCTTTGTTCAATATGTGAGCCTGATCAATGTGTAGCTTGGCTCGTAAGGCCCATTAACATACGGGTCTGTGAGATAATACCTAAAAGGAAATCTCGTGCAAAAGTGAATTGGTGTCATATGAGAGGGGCTCTATCAGAGTGCAAAGGTGTTCATGCTTCGAGTAATAATAATTTAAGTTGCTTTAGGGAAGCTAGTTGTAGCCCTCAATTAACTTAGCTTATATGGGTGATAGGGAAATCTCAAAGTTGTTTCTAATTATAATAAATGGAAAACGCAAATCCCATATAGCCTTACACTAATTATTTAATTTCGTAAACAATAGTGATGCCGTCACTTGAAGTCATTGACAAATGCTTATTGACTGTTATTCTTATTCTGGGCACCAACTTTTTCTAAATATTTATGAAATATATACCAAATTATGGGTTTCATCTTTTTGGTCTTTTCATGGAATCTAATTATTTGTTGCTTTTGTTGCAGGCAATAAGGTTAAGAAGCTCTGTGACTTGTGCAACATAACTGTGAATAAGAATGCTGTGTTCGGTGACAGCAGTGCCTTGTCCCCCGGAGGGGTACGAATTGGTAAGAACTGTTGATTTGAGGGCATCATTTTACTGATAACAGATAGATCTCACATGAAAATGTGACTGAAAGAGTCTTTTGAATTGACTCCTAGAACAATTGACTTTTATGGATTACTACAACATTTTCTCCCATAAAAACCAGTGAATCTAGTAGGGGAGGAGGGAAGTGGACTTGAATTGAAAGTGTGGTTTTTTTTATCACTAAATACTTCAGCTCAAACCCATTTACCCCATTTCCTGAGATAAATGATTTAACTAGGCAAAATGGGTTTTATTCGACTGCTCTAGCCATGTGGTATTCAATATTTCATTAAATGCTTAGATGTCAAAGTGGAATTTAAAGAGTAATTGATATGAAAACTTGAAGTTGCTTGTCTGTATCCACCAAATTACATGTCTAGTAATTCTGATAGATCTGGTTTGGTGCACGTGTTTGTTTAGTGATGCAGTAAATTGATTGCTTTCACGATTTGGGTTGATTGCTTTTTAATTTACTCAAAACTTCGAAACTCACTTGTTTTCTGTTGAAATATGAATAAAAAAACTAGATAGTTTGACATTGCTTTCTTTGGTATAAATGAGTGAGGAGATTCTATGTTTGCAAGTACTCCGCCTATGACTTCCAGAGGGTTGTTTGAGAAGGATTTCGAGCAGATTACAGAGTTCCTCCACTGCTCTGTGACAATCACATTGAAGATCCAAAAGGAGAATGGAAGGCATGCCAAAAAAAGGCTGAGAAGTAAAAATAGTGTACTCCCCTGTTAGTTTCCCTGTTCCCAGCACTGGACTTGTTGGACTTGCTGGTATTCATAGAAGTAAAAATCTTCTGAGATGAAAAAGCCTTACAATTTTCTTAATTTATGATCATGTTGCTCAAATGAAGATAATTAGGCATGCAAAACTAAGTAAAACTAAGTTGGTGACATATGATGTATGCGCCATCATATGATTCCATCCTTTTTTATAATGCTTTAATTTGTTTTTATTTTTTCTCCTGTTGCCATTCCCATTGCTTTCTCCTTCAAGTTGAGATAACTTACAAATACTTTGTGCATGTAGATAGCAATTATACCACGCACTCAGCAAGGACATGGATTGCTGAGGCCTGCCACCAGAGTGGTTGAGTTTTCTCAAAGTATAATTCAGGTGTCTGATCATTGAAATCTCATTTCGCTATAATATTTTTTGGCTTTACTGGGTGTACCATTGTATTGTTTGCTGTCTTTCTTATTTATTTTTTTTTATTATTATTTTGCTAATTTACATATCAGTGCACATTTATTCTTGTACTGATTTAGAGGGTGACTGGACACTGAACAGAAATGGAACTCCTCTGTTTTATTTTTTTTTCTGTTACATTTTAAATGAAATCTATATCTATTACATTTTAAATATGCTGAATGTTTGCTTTTAAATTATTTTTTACAATATTTTGGAGTGATGCTTTTGTCGAATACAAACATATTTGCGCATGTCACTCACATTATATATATACACGTTAAAACATAAACTCGTAATGTGAAATATCAATTTTTGTTATGTAATGCATAAAGTGAGGACATTTCAAGACCTTAGAGACATGACCCCACAGGAGCGTGCTAAACTGCTGACTCAAGTTGCCAGTTTCTTAAGAAACAAGGTTTTAACGGGCAATTTAGGGGAGGGGCATCCCTAGATCGCTTTTTTGGTAAGTCTATCTTGCTTTATCTTTTTATTTTTCTTATGTTGGTTAGTATATATTGGTTAAAACACAACTGTTTAAGAAAGTTACACTTGCAACATTGTTAAATTGCTAGTACAAACATTGAAACATTGAAAATGATCATAACACACTAAAATGCTTAGTTTTATATTGTTTATGTCGATCTATCTTAGTTTGAATTTTGTGAAAATGAAAACCCATTAAAAACAATCAACCCATATCGGTATTTCTCATTTCTTTCTAAGCAAAGTTGGAGAAACAATGAGTGAGATAGTGAAGTTGTATCAAAGGGACATCCACTGGTAGATAGTGAAATTTATGGAGAAAACTGGAGTTAGTTGAACAAAGATCCAAGTTTCATTGAACCATTCTATATGACAATAAAACTCATCATGTTGCTTGATTGTTTTCAATATTGGCAGGTTCATAGGTGTTCATATAACTTGCAAGAACTTGCCCCCAATTAGATTAGCTGTTGTTTTGTGATTTAGTACAGATGAAAGTCAAATTTCGGTAGAAAATGCATTTTTGCTAAATTGTTTTACTCATATATAAATAATTTAGATGTAATTGATAACATATTAATGTTTTCCTTTTTTATTTTCTTTGCAGATTGATTTTTGGATGACATTTCGAAGCATACTTGCAAATCAAGATCAAGTGTTAATTTTTTTTGTAGACTGATAATTAGTTCTACTTGTAACTCAAGATCAAGTGTTGATTTTTATTTATTTATTTATTTTTATTTTTTTGTGGATTGATACTTAGTTCATTTTGGGATTTGCTTCGATTGTCTTTTTGTTATAGTTAATGAATTGTTATTAAATTTGTTTGATGGATATATTTTGGTTTATAGTATCAATTGTTTATTGAATTTTTTGTAGAGTGGTGTATAATAGCTAATGGATTTCTTAGTAAAATTTTAAGGCTATTGAAATATGAGCAGAGATATTTGTGAAATAATAATTTAAATTGAAATATAAAATATGGAACAATAAGTTTTGTGACGAATTTTTTCGTCACATGTACTTATTGTGACAAAGTGCTTATTCGTCACCAATAAATAACTTTTTGTGACAAAACTTGACGTTGTTTATATATGAAAAGTTTTGTTAATTTTGTTGTTTGGTGACTAAAAATTTTGCCATGTATAAATCTTATTGCCACGAAATATATTTCGTCACTAATATCAAACTTTTGAAGACGAAAAATTTCGTCAGCTTTACATCTTATTGTGACGAAAATATTTCCTCGCTAATGATCAACATCTGTGACAAAATTTTTTGTCAACTAAAGTTATATATACGGTACTGAGTAATTATTTGGTGACGAAAATGAGGATTTTTTGTGAAAAAATATTGTCTAATTGGTGACAAAGGTTTTCGTCACTAAAGTAATTTTATTAGTAACGAAATTCTTTTTCCTCACTGTGATCTTTAGTGGCGATCATTCAATGATGAAATCGGTGACGAAAATATTTCCTCACAAATATCTATAGTGACGAAATTAGCTCTTTGGTGACAAAAATAATTTGTCATTCAAGACCCAACTTCTTGTAGTGCAACAAAGTCGTCTTAGACGGTTTGAAGAAGAGGTTGGAAAGAGCAAAAGGCAAGTGGGCTGAGGAGCTTCCTCATGTTTTATGGGCTTACTATACCACACCTCGACGATCAACAGGAGAAACGCCTTTTTCCTTGGCGTATGGCGTGGAGGTAGTAATTCCGCTAGAAGTAGGCCTCCCCACTATTAGAAGCGAAAATTTTGACCCAAAC